CGGGTAAAAAAACGCTAAAGGATTCGGTCATTTATCACCAGCACTGCTGCCCTCGGGGCACCGCAGGAATGAAAAGGGGAGGAATATAATCCTGTTGGACAGACTAATCGCGGACTAACTATCCACGTATTATCTACAATAATTTCATGGTATTGGGTCGCAGGGTAAGTAGAGGGGCTTCTACGTCCTTCTACGTCTCAAAGAAATGAGAGATCTCGCGGTGAAACAGAGTTCCCATTGGAGATAGCTCCTGGATACTGAGAAAATATATTTTGTTCAACGTGTTCCGCTCGGCGTGGATGAAACACTTGTCGCTGTTTTTTTAATGTTCACGTTAAATACAAATATAATTGTATTAAATGTGATGCAAATTGTCATATAATTATATTATATTATATTACAAATATTTTACAATGTGTAATATAATACATAATTATTATATTATATTGTATATAATACATAATAATTATATTATATTGTATTATAAATATTTTGTAATATAATTTAATACAATGTGTAATATAATACAATATTTTGTAATATAATATAATACAATGTGTTATATTATAAAGTGTATGATGTTAGAGGAGAATGTAAGAGAGTTCAGGTAAGTCTGAAGATAGATATCCCTTTAGGTTTTGTATTATTTATATAAGTAGATTATTCGTACATGTAGCGTTATAAATATCGTCATAAAATAGACGTCTTTTCTTTAAATTGTGCACAAACTCCTCTAAATTAAAGTTTCGATATATCCTATTTGTGTCCAACAATTACAACTGCAAAGAGTACATTCGTACGATTATAATTGCACGATTTCTCTTTAAATTCAACAACGATCGAGTATGATCTTTTCACAAGTTCTTACTCGTCGCCACCACTGTAACAAGCTGTACGTTGCCAGTTTCGAATGTTAACCAGTAATTAACTTAACTTTTAACGCACCTGTGCAGCTAATATAAACGAGTTAACTTCACAACGTCGAAACAGCGCGAACAGCGTAAACCAGATCACAACGCAGAAAAAAAAGGAAGGTATTTTGTTCGCTTCTCTCCCTCTGTCCCTCTCTCTCTCTCTCTCTCTCTCTCT